AAAACAAACAATCTTACACTAATTTGGTAATGATAAAAACGTTTTTATGATGAGTTCTTTTTTCGACATATTATAATTTTATCGCTAACCTGATGTGCCGTATGATAATTAAAGTCTCCGATATTGCGTTTTATCAGTATCGTAGGTCTGAAATACATGAACAGAAGTCATTTTTTAAACGGGAAATATTTCCCCATTGATTTTGTAACACGTGGGCCACATTCCATAGCGAACGTTTTGCGGGATTAAGCGTTCCACGACTTCACAGTCTGTAAACGTTCGCGAACAGTCTTGGGATCTAGTTCAGTATTGCATACTTTCTGATCCCTTTACAGACTTTACCCCTGGATCATATCATGTAACGAGATGGGCTTATTCCTTATTTACTTTTGTCTGTCAAACCCCTCATCAACTGCACTTGTATTTTGCTCAGTCATCAATAACACGTGAGGATATTTAGGCAAAATACGTATTTAGCACAGCAGTTTAGTGAAGCTGTTTTATCCACGTGGTTAGAATTTTAAAGCGTAACGAAACACAATGAGACTGAGGAAGCGTACAGTGTAAGACGCATAAACGAAGATGGGGTGCCGCAGTAAAACCTCTCAGGTCAGTGTGTGTTTTATTTGTTTAGTTTCGTGAAGTTTGTACTCTGTTAGCACAGTCTAGAGCGATTTTCATACGCTCATTACATGCGAATTATTTTTGAAAAAAATATATTCAGCCATGTAAAATAATGAGCTGACTGCTACGCGTTTCAAGCCGTTTTTGTAAAAATGTACCGAAAAGAAATTGGTATTACTGACGAACTAATGGTTGTGTTAAATACATATTACCAAAGGCGAGAAAAAGTGGGTACTGATAATTTTGACAGTAATAAGAACCATTATTTTTAGGAAATAAACTTTTTTAACATAACAACGTCCTAACAAAGAGTAGTGGAAAGAGAGTTAAATTTTATATATTATAAAACACTGCATTTCGTAAGCTAAACGTTTTTCTGATGTTATGCCTTTCGTTTCAAAAACAAAAACAAACCTTTTATCACTTGGTAAGCGAATATGATAATATCATTTCGTTGGCAGGTTCTTTTATCTGGTGAAAATAATTCAAAGTCTGGTACACGTAAAGATAACAAATTATTTATTTCATAGTGTTTCTTTACAGGCTTGTACGCCTTGTAAATTGTAGACCAGGATTTGGTTACGTCAGTTTAGAATATTCCAAGCATACTCACATAAAATTACTTAATCTTAGCGTCATGCGCCCTCTAGCTAACAAACAAATTACAATAACAAAAAAAAAAAAAGCTTACGACACTGAGTTTAATATCACACCTATTATACTGAATAATTATCCTATGTAGTGCATGACAATGCATGTTGCTGAGGTAATAATTACAGGGATGTGTGTTGCAGCATGGCTTGTGTTCAAGCATAATTTTCGCACATAATAAGAACCTCCACAAAGAATCATATGAAGGTTAAATAAATGTGACCACCTTTCATATATGTTTTTTGACAATCAGTGTGCACACACGTCGTATTCTCAAATTCATGTATAAAAAATATAATATTTTCTTATGTAGTATATTGAGTACCCATTTACAAGGTGTTACAAAAACACAGGCCATTAACTTTAAAATAATACATTTCAGGCCTAGAAAAACTACAAAAATGTAATAACTTTATTCACAGTTATTTTTCGAGTATTAAGTTAGAAGTAGAAGGTTCTCCTCTATCTTTTTTTTTTTTACTTCTTATCTTCTTTCCACCCCCACGTTCCACGTAGTTTGTATTTTGAAGGGAAAAACTAAAACAGACGTTAGATACGGAGGTTGTATTTTTATCTAGAACATATTCGAACCTTTATCCCCTTCTCATCCCAAGAGTCCTTAAGGTTTGGCTGTTAAGAGATAAAAACAAGAGAAAATCCTCAATGGCCACGGCACTTGAAATTATTTTAGGCAGGATTAGAGCAAATTAATCTATGAGACTTTTTTGTTTTGTTTTATTAGCTATATTTTTGTGCACCAGCAATACCAATCGCGCGTATACCCGATTCAATTTTATTACTCATCAGGATCTCCACCAGGATTAGAGTAAAATAACAGGAAACCTTGGGCGTGGTCAAATACATCAACCGAAAGGGTTTGACCTCCTGAATCCAAAATTGTAATTAAATCTCAAATCGGTCAAGAGATGATTGGAACTATTAGCTAGAAGTCTGTACTTGAAAAAAACAAAAAATACAAATCAGAGCCCGTCTATGAGCCGCTATCTCTCGGCTAAAAGTAAAGCGCAGAGACATTAGTAATTTATAACAGATATTTTACAAAGTCAGTTTTTTATAGGTATGACTTTTCAGCCCCCCGGCTTATAATGCTAAAAATCGGGTTTCCAAACTCGCGGTGGGCATAGGGCAGCTAGCCCATCGTGGTCAATAACGAACAAGCAACCTTTGATCATTGGACAAATTGGAAAAGTCTAAGTAAGATGGACAGCTTAATAGTCACAGTTAAACAACTGAAGGTCCTATTAAAACCAACTGTTTGCAATGGCAAACAAAAAAGTATTTGTTCGCATTGATAACAAAAACAGTGGTTATACAAGAACAACTTGTATTAGTAAGCGAGTTAAATTCCATCCTATGAACTTCCTGATTACTCGTGGTCATGTGGCGATACGTTTATAAATGAATTAGATAACCCACGTCACTGATTTCTTATTCATCCTTATTAAAGAGCATGTTTTTTACAATCTTATAAGGCTATACCTTATCTGATGAATGCTGCAATCAGTGTTCGAACTGAGGGGACCGTCGCCCCAAATTAATGGTGAAAATAAATATATATATCTCATCTTTCTTTGTTTAACACCATGAGGATGGGAGAACTTTTTAGAACGAGACTAACTCAGGTTCAATGAAGGCAAGTGTCTGCAGCTGTAGTCGTACTGATTTTCTCTGTGTTAAATATTATCTTCATCAGCCATGGATATATTTGGTTTTTCGTTTGCTTCTAATGTTCTTTAATGCACAATTATTATTCTGTTTCAATTTTTATCTTATTAGTGACTGCCCAACGGGGTATTTAAATCCACGGTACCAGTATAATATACTGTTACGTCTGCGTTTGTTAATTAACTTTCCGTAACTTCGTTCCGACGAAACTTTAGCGACACAAGTCCTTACTTAATAAAACTGGTTTATTCTTTCTGAATATAACTTCACGATACACTTGATTTCAACATTCGCGCTAAAACAAACGCTATAACGTTTCAACAATACTTTCTCACTGCAGATTAATTACTCACTACCTACACACACACACTATTATTCCGTCACGTTGTCACCCTCTTATATATATACCAGCCTACCCTCAATCTAGTAATATCCCGAAGGTTCGAGAAAGAAGTGGCGTGACACTAGTCACGTGACCTCGCTGACGCAACAATACACTTCTTCCATTATATTTATGGAGTTTCCCTTGTTAAGTAGTTCCAGCAATGTTCTATGTTGAATTATTTAAAAACTATATCGCTGTGATGGATTCGGTAAATATGTGTGGATTTCACATCCTGAGATATCTAATGATCCTTTAATGCTAAAATATAATATTACTTTAATCACAACATATGTACTACTAGAAAACATTTAACTGTTTCTGAGTAATTTGACGATGCTGATTCTAGAAATCGTATTGAAAAGTACTGATCACCTCTAGTTTTCGAGTCACGGTAGATGTATTCAAAATATTCTTATATATCGTGAAAATATAAACATTTTCTTTCATAATTTTATTTATTCATTGAAAATTGCATTTAAGAATGTTCAAAACAATACGAATTAGCAACAACAGTTTAAAAAAGCAATTAGTACAATAAGATTATATACTTAAAATACATTTAGGCTATGGTCAAACTTTCATCATGATATTATTTGTTACTTTTTGTTACCAAATACCTCTTTCACTTGTTGCGCCTTCTGTGTATGTTCTCAGTTTCACACTGTAAGAACTAACAGTAATCTCCCATTATCGTAGTGTTCCATCGTCCTTAATATCTCTGTTCCATTGTAGAAATATATTGGTAGGAGCGCTCGCCATGCTCATCGCTCACTGCACCTAGATCATTTGGAAAGAAGTCTAAATGGAAATGTTAAAAGTGCATCTTTAGTGACATCCTAGATATTATTTTCCTACAGTGTAGTTTTCATCTCTGTGATTTCCTAAGACATTTTTTACAACCAGTTTGATTGATTTCCAGGCATCAAGTTCTTTCTGATTGAGTAATGTTTCAAAATAATTACCCATCAGCACTTCCCGAATCTGCAGCCCAACAAAGATACCTCCTTTCATTTTTGATTCACTGATTTTTTGAAACTTTACAGACAGATATCTAAAACAATTACCATCTTTGTTCATTCCTTTTACAATATTTTTCATGCGTCCCAGTTTAATATGAAGTGAGGGCAGAAATATATTTTGAGGATTCACTAAAGGTTGATTCTTGATATTCTGTTTCACTGGTATGTAATTCTCTTCGACTGGTCATTCCATCTTTTTGGTCTAGCAGGAGTGCAATAACTTTTATATCATCACATGTTCTCCCCCTATGGTGATCATATTTGAGGGACTCAGTTGTAATGTGCTTGTTTTGATAAGTTTCTTTTATGTTCACAGCACCAGAAACAAGAATTGATGGCTTAGTGTTTCCATTGTGCAAGAGTACAGCTAACTTTAAATGAGTCAATAAAAGTCTTCATTCTTGAGGATAATGTTCAGTACCTAATTCTTCCATTAGTGTATTATCATTTGTACAGAAACAAAGTATCTAACATGCTGTAGTGAGAAGCAAGACTTTGATGGAAACTTCATTAAATTGAAGCTCTTGTTCCTGTAGCTAATAAATTCCATTACTGTAAACAAGAGCCAAGTTCCCTATGCTGCCTTGATAGAGACAAGTCATGAATCAGATCATTTAGCTCTTCTTGTGTGATCAGATGAGGCAGTGTATGTTGAGGTGCCACAGGAATAAAATTACTAGATGAAGATCATGAAGATGATTCGTTGTCTCTTCTGTTTCCCAGTTCGATGATGGATGTGGCACTGGAAGACAATACCCAAGAGATACTGGTTTCTTTGCAAATGCAATATCTGGATATTTAATATACTGTTTAGTTTTACCAAAATATCCTGAAACATTAGTCATGGGAACTGCAAATGGCATACTTACTCTCTTTTTATTCAGCCATTGTGTCAAGCCAGATGTCCAAACCGTACAACGCGCATGTTTTTCTTAGTCACCAATTGTACACCCCAAAATAGTGGTAGTAAGCTACCTTTACCTTGTATGTGATGTTTTTCCTTCATGAAACTGTAGCAGAAACTGTTTGGGTGATTTTTTGCACTTTCGGACTTTACTTGAACTGGAGGCAGCCAGCAGTTCAAATTATTCTTAAAAAAATATAAAATAATTTATGCTTACAGAACTAGAGCTTTAAAAGATTTTCAAAACAGAATTTTTGCAGAATTTGATTATATTGCGGGTATGATGCGAGGAATAAGATTGGACTTTGTTTTGACTCTGCACGGAGTGATGCAAGACCGAGTGAGTGAGTGAGAGGCAACTGAGAGAGAGAGAGAGACAATCTGACTCCGCCTCCTTTTACGCTCGGTCAAGGGCATTCTCGAATGTTTCAGCAAACTTAGCACTTGAGTGTTTCGTGAATTCCGGGTAGAGCAGGTGAGAATGGGAATGAAGCAAAAGTGGTGCAATTCACCACAGTTGTATCGAGAACAAATAGCATATATAAACAATGTATTTGGAATTTTACACCAATACAATACAGCCAATGTTTGAAGTTATCAAAAATGTATGCCTTTTACCCATTAACACTCCAAGTAAACTTAATTTCACAGCATAAATCTATTGTACTGAATTGATTGCATGGTATTTCACATAATGCTGATATAATATTGAGATATTAAAATAACTCAAAATATAGAGGTGGTGGACAAATTCCTGACTTCTTTTTTGAAATTAGCACCATCAAACTACCCCGAATCACTTGAGTTTCCTCCAGTAGCAAATTTTGTGTTGTCCAGTGTTATAAAAGCACATTGAATATCGCATTGTGAATTTAAATATTACGTATAACTGGAAAATAATGGGTTTATTTAATTGTTCATTTGAACGCATTACTACAGTAGAGGGTATGGACAAAGTGTTTTAGGCACTTCCTTTTATAGCATACTAGCTTATTTACCCGCTCAACGCAAGGGAAAGACATATGGGCTCTCGGGGGTAACACAGGGAGGTCATATTGTAAGCCAACACTTTATATTACCAAGTTTGGTGACAGTCGGTTCAAGATTTTCTTATGTGGCAAACAGATACGATGCACGAGGAAAACATAGAAGCCCATGGGGTGATATGATAGGGGACAGATCAAATATCGATCTCCCTATGTCACTCCCATATGGGTTCTAAAAGTACATTACAGGTTTGAAGAGAATCAGTCCAGCGGTTTGCCAGTTATAAGTGGACACGTACGGAGACTTTTGTCAAATAATAATTTAGATAAAAAGTGCGAGGAGATTGTAAAGATGTGGCCACCATCTTATAACTTAGTATATGTGTATGTGTAATTTGTATATATAATTTTCAAAATTCTGGTGACGAAGTATTTATGTACCACATCTGCGCTGTTTTAACTAAAGTCCGTAATGTCAATATCTGTTAGTTTATCTTTAGTGGTGCCGCAAGCCTAACAAAGTGGTAACAGTTTTGCATTCTAGTTGTTTTGGAGCATGGTAACTCTATTTTCTCGGAAACTGTCCATATATGACTAGAATATTGTGGTGTATGAGATAATGAAAGTGGTAAGGTGTCTGCTGTAGAAGTAAATATGTCCAAGATGTTTTTTGTTGGCGAAAGGGATTGATTTTCACAGCAGAAAATATAAGATTTGTGCGAGAAAGCTGTTTCATTATCTTAGTCTAAAACTATAAGCTGGCCATACCATCTTTCGCACTGATGTTGAATAAATGTGTGCGTGTGTGATGAACAACTCTGTTGTTTCTCCTCAGTATTATCAGAGAACAATTGCAACTCATACTTTTCACATCTTCATAAATTACAGCAAATCCTATTCTATTGTACATTCATCAAGTTATAAACCAGTAACTGCCTTAATAAGCAGTTCTCTCAAATAAGCTTTACATATGGCAGAATTTAAGGCTTGCAAACATGGTCTTATAAGGATGATACAAATGCATTCATTACTGGTGATAACATTGGTAATTTCCAAAATAAAATAAAATGTTTAATTGATGGCAGATTTGTTAATAGCAAACAAAATGTCCTTAAATATTGAGAAAACTAATTTTATTATTATAAAATCTAATAAAAACATAGACATATATATATTTCCAAATATAAGTATAAATGATAAGGAAATAAAGTGTCGTTGAAACCAAATTTTTGGAGTAATAATTACTCAAGAACCGAATAGGAGAGAATATCTATTGAATAACAAAAGGAATTTTAAGTTATGCTAGACATTTATTAGCTATACCTCAACTCAAATTAATATATAATACATTGGCATTTCCGCATGAAGCCACAGTTTATAAAACTTGGGTGGGAATTGTTCGTTGAATTTCAGGATGAATTCTGATTCACCATTTAGGCCGTTGAATCTTATTTTTGTAATGTTTCTGTAAATGTGGATCCAGATATTGCTAGTGTTTTGGCTTTATTTCGGTTTATTTATCTTTATTATGAACGCTTTTCTAAGTTGCCAGTGCAGTATCTCAAACATAATTCTTGTCCCATTCAAATGAGTGTCCTGTGTTGTAAGAATTATCAGTTATAATTTAATTTTCTGGGCCTGGAAGCCTTTTTGCACATGTTAAGCAGTGCCTAAATCCACTTTGACGGATGCATAAATAATTATCTTCAACTTTTTTCAGAGAATGCTCTAATAGTCGTTTTACTTAATTTTGAAATTGATCAGAAAAGGCAAACTATTGTATGGTGACTCTGGAAAGTAAACATCCAAAGTTAAGCAATTTTTCGTGAAGGCAACGGGAATGGAGTGAATTGTGCTTTCCTTTCAAAGTGTAACATCAGCTTGGGTCTTTTTAGTGGGTAAAAAAACGTTACATTGAACTTCGTAATTGTTTACTTAAACAAAACCTGCAAGTTAGTATTACATTGTTCTTGTTTCTGTAGATAAAGAACTGCTTGAGTACCCACCGTTTGTCGCTGTTCATTATTTCAGCCACTATACTTGGATTTTGTGTAGGACTATCCTTACGTCACTTAAAATTGGACCAACAAACAATTCAGCTGATTGGTTTCCCAGGCCGACTAGTTTTTCGAGCTATCATCTTATTGGTTGTTCCGCTTCTGTGTTCCAGCATCATATTGGGTAAGTATGGTTAACTCGATTACCACCGTCTAGTAATGCGATTATAGCAAAATATTTAATGTATTATATTATACCAGATATGCTACTAATAAACTGTATAAATACCTAATAACATTTAGTAATCCTTCAGTCTCGAGTTATCATCTTTTTTCTACCCGAAGCCATGTTTGTTCTCTGTCAGTAGCATTTGTAATCTGTATGATAAATTATTTCCTGATCGTGTCCTTTATTTTATCGAAATATCGGTTTTATTAGCTCTTTGGTATATTATGTATCTAAGGTTTTTGCATTGTGGCGCATTTTAAGATTTATGAACGCGAGTACATAGTAGTTCAACGTTTTAGATGAATTAATTAAAAAATAATCATTAGGCTGTATTTCTATACATCAGAGTGTGTGTATTAAAACACTTACAGGGGTGTACGGCAGAATTCAGATAATACAGTAATATAAAATATTTTTGTACGTTTAAATGTAAGAGATGGCTGCTTTTGGCTCTACTATGATCTTACTGTAACACACATTATAGGCTACTTGCCTGGCTAACTAAAAAAAACGCATCTGTTTACCGGATAAGTATGTTATTAACAGAGAAAATGAAGAAGAAATACACATAAGAAATCACATTATTATTATTGTAATCCGCAAAAAGCACAACTATAGCAAGCATACAGCACGTACGTGATGTGAAAGAGAACGTAGAGATGTGAAATGTTCAAAACCACAATGTTCATGTTATGCTGTCATCAGAACCTTAGTCGTGAGTGTCATCAGACCTACTGCCTCACCCTGCCGCATCAGTGACATGATCTCGCAATCTGAGGGTCGCGGGTTCGAATCCCCGTCCCATCAAACATGTTCCCCCTTTCAGCCGTAGGGGCGTTATAATGTGACGGTCAATCCCACTTTTCGTTGGTAAAAGAGCATCCCAAAAGTTGGCGGTGGGTGGTGATGACTAGCTGCTTTCCCTCTAGTCTTTCACTGCTAAATTAGGAACGGCTAGCGGAGATAGCTCTCGTGTAGCTTTGCGCGAAATTCAAAAACTAACTAACAAACAAACAAATCGTTAGATCGATACAGCATTCTCTATACTTAAGCATGTCTTGAAAAACAAAAGAGTATGAGCATATTTTATACTTACCAGATTCGTTTTCATATATAATGTCTTTTGTCCCATTACATAAACTGTTCAAATGTCATGATGGTTCTTGCATGTGCTTGAAGTTAAAAATGTGCCCCTTGACACATTTTTGGCGGAAGTGAATACAGTATCCATAATATGCACTCCATATTGACAAACACATTGCACAAATCTTCATATTGACTTTGTTACGTATTAGAATTTTAAATGGTGACAACAAGACTGATACACGCCGTCTTCATTTTTAACACAAATACGTTTTAATATACACACAACAATACAATTTACAGTAACAATTATTACAAGTAGTTATTATCAACAAAGATTTATAAACAAAAGTTTCACAAACTTATAAACAATATAAAACCTTCTTTCTAGTTTGGAACTCCCTTGATATCTTATCGAGGTTTTTCGATGAGCGAGTTAATTACGATTTGATGTAAGTACGATTCGCCGGGAAGCTAGCTAGCTTTGTCCTTGGCCACACACACTAGGTTTACACCGTAAAGTTAGGTAATTTTCGTAAAAAATATTAATGCCCGATGAGAATCCACTGAAGTTAAATAATTTGTAATGTTGAACTTTGTAAAGGTTCCTGGTCATATATCTGAGGTTTTCCGATTGATAAGCGTTATAAAAATCACAGTTGTAGCTTTCGAAGTTTATAGCACGCTGATTATAGCGAACTACTAATATACACTCTCTGGCTCGTCGCGTTGATTATATTTATAGCTGTGTGGAGGCGTTCTAGAAATTTCAGTCTTACGTCAAAATACTAGTTAAAGCGTTTACGTACACACATATATTGTTGATTCTTACTCTCGAGAATCTTCTAAAACTTTGGAATATAGGCGGGAGTTTCGCAATACATATCTAACACTATAAGAACTGCATGTTTTTAAATATAAACTTAATCTAAACAACGTTTATATTAAAATACATACATAACAACAAATTCGTTACAACTTGCTGGAAGGTAGGGCTACACTGGTACTACCGAAAGCACCATTTACAGTTTCCTTTCTCAGTACTTTATTGTTCAGTGAATTTTAGGGCCTGATACGGCCCTTTTGGAGGCCCATCCTTATATACAGTCGAATATGTCACGTATGTGTACATGACATGTTTTTGAATAAAGTGAGTTTGATAAAAAAAAAAGCAAAACAGGTTGAGAACCCCTGATTTAAAACAGTCAAGAGCGATGTACACAAATCATATGTTTTTTGTTTGATATTTTTGTGATATAACTATTCAATTGAAATTAGAAATCTCATGACCAGCATTAAATTGTATACTTCAGCGTAGCTAAATTGTAAACTAAAAAGTTATGTTAAGTTTAATACGTTTGAGTAGAGAGTCATCATAGTTATATTTGTTTGGTTGAAGTTAAGCACAAATCTACACAGTGGGCTATCTGTGCTTTGCCCACCACGGGTATCGAAACCTGGTTTCTAGCTTTGTAAGTCCGCAGACATGCCGCTGTGCCACTGGGGGGGGGGGTGGGCTCATAACATTACACTAGTTAGTTGTTGCACTAAACTGGAGTGTGATACAAGATATTGCTAAATCAACACATGTATCTGATAGAGAGAAACATTAGCGGCTTATGGGAATTGTTTACATTTATTATCGTACACAACTCGCTTACTGATGGTGTCCATACGGATGTAAACGACCAATCAGAGAAAAATGCATAAAATCGTGCATTTCGTGTTATTGCGAAAGCTCGTTGGGTGTTTATTTGGAAAGGCTAACGATATTTTACTGCGTGGAGTACGAAAGAAGACGTGACAATCAGAGGTGGTGACCTATGGCTTCGTTAGAAGACGGTCACTGTGGTGCGTTGCGTTACAATTGACCAACTTAGGCTTTTAGACATACTCACACGTATTTATATTTCGGTGGTGAACTGCGATACGAAAACATATAAGCTTCCATTAAGTAACAAAATACGTGCATTGAGTAGATGAGTACAGTTCCACGGTTTTGATCAATATCACCTCTCATCAACCCCGCTATAGCGATGACAGATATACCCACCCGACAGTTTTTCGATACATGTACTTATTTTTACTCTTTCATCGGAAAAAAAAATGAATCGCTAATGACAAGTTAAACCTATTTAACGCGAATTGTTTCTCACGAGGGTGTAAAGCACAATGAATATTTCAAACTAAAATTAGATCAGTGAATAAAATAAAACTGTAGCTTAACGGATCAAATTAAAAACTCAGAGTTCAGCACTTTAGACACATACCTTTATGCTGCCAAAGTGGTACAACCTTGACCTACTATGATAACTCTACCTTTCTGCTCCAAATTACGCGCCAAAATTTCAATTCTTCAAAATTGGGGTTGTGAAAAAATGAAAGGGTGATGTATTTAAAATATTTAAATTTACATCTTTAACTATTAAGTAAGTTAAAGTATTTGGTGGTTGATAGTTTACTTAATTTTAAAATTTATATTATCTTTAAGATTCCCAAAAAATAAACCAGTTGCTGATATAATCAATCATGGATACGGTAAATCAGTAATAACTATTTAAAAATGCTGAAAGACTACATCTAATTTTTAAAACATTCATATTTTCTGAATTAATGCAAAAGTTTAAAAATACTTTCTCGTTTCCTCAATTTTAAAGTTTCTATTCCACAGTTTTACCACTCTAGACAGTATCATAGAACTCAAATGAAATTAATTAATTTTGAAATTCGACAAAAAAAATGAGTTCATGAAATCGTTAATAAAACAATGAGAGGCGTTTAATTTGTTAGGAAATCAGGTTTATAGTTTGAGTTTCGCACATTTTAAAGACTTTATTGAATCAAAGAATAATAAACTTATTTTACAGATTAAAGAAAACAGTTGGCTAAGTTAAAGTATGAGGCGATAGTTAAGTAAGAATTGTTTATAGGACAACCTGATAAATTCATATTCAGTTATTCAAAGTATATTTTGCGTGAAATGGAAAAGAAAGTTTTAGCTCATGGTTTAAAATTCAACGTCCCTCATAAGGCTTAAGTTTGAGGAATATTCGTAACTTACGGTTTTGCTTTAGATTTAAGAATCACATTTCGACTTTACAGTCATCATAAGTAGTTTATAAATTTATTTGTCCTTGCTGTCAGCAAGGCTACGTTTGTTCTATTAAAAGAAAACTGGTAACGCGAATTAGCGAATATGAAACTAATATCCTTCATTAAATCAAGTACATTTGAACACGCCCTTAGAGAATGTGACGTTGTTGTTCATTCTCGTTGGTTAAAGGTCTTAGCAAGGTCCAATGATGAACAGATCCACCGAATTAAAAAGCTTACTTATTCATAAGCCGAGGACTAAGATAAACACTGTTAGAGCAAGTAGTAATTTACAGCTGTGGCTATGAAAATATAGTCGTTTCACGTTCCATGCAGTTAAGAAAAAGGTAAAAACACTCGGAACAAATAATAATAATTACAGACAACGTTAATTGTGTTCCTTCATTGTTGGTTTTATCAATCGTTGCCTCATCAAAACCCAAAATTCGTAGACAGTTCGAATATGAGACTACTTAATGAATCAGTAAACGAAAGGGACTCGTTATAAGCAGAGTTTTGATACAACTCGCAAAGTAGATATCGCTATTATGTGGTATGATGTGGATTTAAATTTCGCTTTTATTAACTTGATTTCTTAACTAAATTAGTTGGACTCAGGCGCCATCCTGGTCTTTTGAATTTTGACTAATACAAACTCAAAAAAATGTCATCCATGGCACTATGAACATCAGTAACGGCTTATTATATTTTATTAAAAATCGATAAAAAAAAAACAGTTGTAGCGGTAGTTTTTTCAAAGTTTATGAGGTAGATGTCTCGCTCTGGCCAGTCACAAACAAGCTTGATTCAACAAATTCAGGCTAGGATTCTGCAGATGTATTTTGTCTAATTAAAGTAGTCACGAAGTTCAGTAATGATGGCTGGCTTTGATCAAGCGTAAACTCTATAGCTATGGTAGATGAAAGACGTATTTGATTGACAGTTATGTTAACTATGTTTACAAACTAAAAAAAAAGGTCTTGCCCTTAACGTATGGCCTAAAAACACTTTCATTTTTATTTTAGTGGAGTCAGCTTTGTAACTTTTACTGACCGTAAACCATACATTTATTCATCAATAACCCTAATTGGAAAAGACCAGCCAGAAAATTACGATGGATTTGACGTTTTAAACAGTATAGCTTCTAGTACACTCAAATCAGGAAAAATTCACCATCGGATTTTACTTCATGACACCCACAATCTAATACAACTAACAGCAGAGGGGGAAGGTTGCTGAACATTAGGCTTATTTCATAATAAGTAACGCAATACCTAAAGCTATGGCACAGTTGGATATAAAAATGAATCGTAAACAGACGCTACACTGCATCTTCTTACTGCAGAAATGCCTGACCTAAAAGACAAACCACAGTATAATAAAAGTCAGAAGACGTTAATCATCTAAATACTCTTTTCAAGAGAAAAAAGTTAATTTTCTTTTATTCACTATAATATCGAGCAATTCCACTGGTTAACTTATTTGAAAAATTACCAGAATTAGGCTTCATATGCTCTTTTACACATTGTTCTAAACATAATCTTACCCACATCAAGAAATATACAATGTCCGAAAAGTCATAGTCAAAAGAGCCATAGGTGATTTGCAGGTTTTCTTAATTTCAGATACGTGTCTAATTATGGCACTGTCAAAACATAAGAAGGTCGAGTTAATCTTATTGTTAATCCAAACTTGTTTCTAATAACAAGGAGAGGATGTGGAACACATTCTGTAAAATTCGTTGACGTGCCAATGGTTCCAGACTCTTCGGACACCCTATACATAAAACATCTAGATCAGGAATGTTATGGAACCGCTGATGAAAAGAAAATTCCAACAATGAACAAGATGTCAGAATAAAAGAGAGATTGGCGATAAAGAAACTAAAACCAACATTGAACTCGAATCCATCAGTAATAGAAATCCTTGAAAGGTGGAAAAACGAGTAAGAGCACGTTAACAGGTTTTAAAAGCAAAGTACAAGCTCGTACTCCTTTAAGCCTAAAGCAAAATAAAACAGAAACAATTATTTAGTTTTTCTGTATATTGTGACATTGTAAGTCGTAAATAATTAAAGATTATTTTATAGGTGTCTCGTCACTGAAGAAAGGAGATAACGTCCGACTGGTGGGATTCACCGTTGGGTTTTTTATTGGTCTTCAGTTCTTTTGTACAACGCTTGGTATTGTTGCTGGACAGCTAATAAATCCTGGGAATTTCAAAGATGAAAATGTAGGAAATTACGACTCAAAGACAGCAGCACATGTTGAAAAAAGCCAAATTGTGGATCTTGTACTAGATATGTTCAGGTATTGAAAAAAATATTCACTATATTCATTAGATATCTTGTTTTCTCAAATGTCTAGCAAATATTGAAGCGTTGAAAATTTAGGATTAGAAGAGTAGAAAAAAGAACATTTAATTGTTTAATTACAGTTGAGTCAAACGTACAATTTACAAATGAATTTGACGAAACTGTTGTTATTTTGACAAACCACTTGATTTGGAAACTTTCAGTCATGAACATGTTCTAGTTTATTGTTGTGTTGCTCTCGTCAAAATATCAGTGCACTAGAAAACATCACACAACAGTAAACTAGTGTGTAACTTACTCGATCACTCTCGTCAAAACACCAGTGCACTAGAAAACATCATCGGGTAGGTTCCACACTAGTTTATTGTTGTGTGATGTTTTCTAGTGCACTGATATTTTGACGATAGTGATCGGGTAGGTTCCACACTAGTTTATTGTTGTGTGATGTTTTCTAGTGCACTGATGTTTTGACGAGAGTGATCGGGTAAGTTCCACACTAGTTTATTGTTGTGTGATGTTTTCTAGTGCACTGATGTTTTGACGAGAGTGATCGGGTA